CGACTCGAGGCACTCTAGAGGGGCGGGGCTAATTAAAGCTCCACCCTTCTTTGATAGATCTCCTCCAAGATGGCGCCATGAGCACCCCGAAGGCACCCAAGAGCGCCCCAAGAGCGCCCCAAGAGAACCCCCAGAGGCTCCAAGAGACGCCAAGAGGCGCCCAAGAGGCCTCCAAAAGGCTCCCAAGAGACCCCCAAGAGGCCCCAAGAGGCTCCCAAGATGGCCCAAGAAGGCTCCAAGAGCGAAAATGCGAGAAAGCAAAAAACATTGATTTTCCATAGGTTTTGTAAGGATTTTGGCCTCTTGGGGAGCCCAAGAGGCGACTCGAGGCACTCTAGAGGGGCAGCGCTAATTGGGGAACCCCCTTTCTTTGATAGATCTCCTCCAAGATGGCCCCAAGAGCGCTTCGAAGGCTCCCAAGAGCGCCCCAAGAGCGCCCCAAGAGAGCCCCAAGAGGCCCCAAGAGGCTCCATGTGGCCTCCAAGAAGGCCAAGAGACCCCAAGAGGCCGCAAGCGGCTCCGAGATACGCAAGTGAGGCCCCCGGGACGCCAAGAGGCCCCCAAAAGACGGCAAGAGGCCCAAGCTGCATTGTCTCCTCCTCTCCCTTTTCTTTCCTCCTCCCTCCTCCCCACTCCATCCTCCTCCCCCTCCCTCCTCATCCTCTACTCTCTCTTCTCACTTTTCCTCCTTCCGTTCCTCCTCCATTCCTCCTCCTCATCTTCTCTCTCTCCTCTCTGCTACCTCCCCTACCCCTCCCTCTCCTGCTCCTCTCTGATCCTTGTCTTACCTCTCTACCTCGACGCCGAAGACTCCTCCAACATCCTCCCCCCTCATGGGGCGTATGGCGGCTCAAACCGCTCTTTGTTCTTTTCTGCATGCTCCCCGTTTCCCCTCTCACTCACTCCCCCGGGGTCATTTCTGGTACGGGCTGGTGGGGATACGCGAAGCGTCTAGAATTCAAGGGGATCCTGGCAAAACAAACGAATTAGTCGAGACTTCCTCGAAATTCCTGCGCGCGGGACGCGGCACGCGCGAGACATCCTCGGAATTCCTGCGCGCGGGGCGCTTTTCTGCGTCGCGGTCGGCTCTGCAAAACCAGCGTCGAGACATCCTCAAGAAATTATGAAAACGAGCGTTTCGCTCGAGACATCCCCAACTCTGCAAAACCAGCGTTTCGCTCGAGACATCCTCAACAAATTCTGAAAATAAGCGTTTCGCTAAGGACATCCTCAAGAATAATTCCGCCGGCCCTCTTCCCGCACGTAATTTATCGCAGAATTACACTACACCCGCGCTCCCAGGGCCACGATCCCTCGTAAATTACGCTACGTCAGCGCTCCCAGGGCCACGATCCCTCGTAAGGGCTCCTGGGCCCTCCTGGGTCTTCCTTGGACCTCTTGGGCCCTCCTGGCTCTCCTGGAGCCTCCTGGAGCTTCTCCTGGGCCCTCCTTGGGCCCCCTGGTGCCTCTTGGAGCCTCCTGGGTCCTCCTGGGCCCTCCTGGGCTCTCCTGGGCCCTCCTGGACTCTCCTGGGCTCTCCTGGAGCCTCCTGGGCCCTCCTGGGCGAAGTCAAGGTCCGAAAACACATGGGACTTGCCACATTTCTGAAATTCGGTGCCACCCCTCACGCAGGTCGGCGGGGTCAGGATCCGAAAACACATGGGATTTGCCACATTTCTGAAATTCGGTGCCACCCCTCACGCAGATCGGCGGGGTCAGGGTCCAAAAACATAGGGGATTTGCTACATTTCTGAAATTCCGCGCCACCCCTCACGCAGAGCGGCGGGGTCAGGGTCCAAAAACACAAGGGATTTGACACATTTCTGGCATTCCGTGCCACACCTCACGCAGATCGGCAGGGTCAGGGTCAAAAAACACAGGGGATTTTTGCTATTTCCGAATTTATGCAACTTCAAGAATCCAAAACTCCGTTCCCAGCGCCGTTCCGGAGGCCGCGGCACCTTGTTATGTATCGAGCGAACGCGTTTACCTCGTTTTTTATAATTTAAAGTCGATGTCGGAAAAAAAGTTGACTGACTTCACCTGTGAAATATCGAGGTTTCCTTAAAGGCAGTAAAATTACAAGAGCACGATCTGCGTGAGGGGTGGCGAAAAATGGCCTTCGTCCTCACAATTGAAATCCGCCGGCCCCCTTCGACCCCGTAATTTATCGCACAAGAATTTCGCCGGCCCCCTTCAAGTAAAAACCGGGGGTTAACCTACTAAAAGAGAACCCTGGGCCTAAGCCCTTTCCGGGAAAAATTACGCTGCGTCCGCGCTCACAGGGCCACGATCCTTTGCAAATTACGCTGCGTCCGCGCTCCCACTGCCGCGATCCCTCGTAAATTACACTGGGGTCGCGCTCCCAGGGCCACGATCCCTCGTAAATTACATTGGGGTCGCGCTCCCAGGGCCCCGACCCCTTGTAAATTACGCTGCGTCCGCGCTCCCAGGGCCACGATCCCTCGTAAATCACGCTGCGTCCGAGCCCCCAGGGCCCCGACCCCTTGTAAATTACGCTGCGCCCGCGCTCCGAGGGCCACGATCCCTCGCAAATTATGCGTGGTCCGCGCTCCAAGCGCCACGATCCCTCGTAGATTACGCCACGTCCGCGTTCCAAGGGCCTCTCAGGGCATGCTGGGGCGCTCAGATCCTTGAAGTTTTGCAAAACAAGCGTTTCGCTGGAGACATCCTCTAATTTTCTGCGCGGGGGGCGCGCCATCCTTGACCGGGCACGCAAAAAGGTCAACATGTTCACGCTTGCCGCGCCGAAGTGGACCTTACCTTGTTTTCTATCGACGAGGAAAACGGAAGTCCGCGGACCCCGTTATCTATCGAGGGTCCGAAAAGGGGGGTTGATTTTCCTCGAGGGGCACGCGCGAAACCCCCTTTCCGCGCCGAATTTGGCCTTACTTAGTTTTTTGTCGAGGAAGACGGTAGGCCGCGGACCCGGATATTTATCGAGGATCCGGGATGGGGGATCTACTTTCCTCGAGCGGGCACGCGCGAAACGTATTTACTTTACCTAGATTGTATCTAGCGGAAAGCCACTGGCCCTACAGAAGTTGGCAGCGGGGGGAATTACCTAGTTAAAGAGAACCCTTCAGGGCGGAGCCCTTCCCGGGATAAATGGGAAAATATGGGGAATCCTAAGATTTGTGTGTATTTATTTGCGTGTTCCATGCGTTCATGTTCAAAGCGGGGCTCCCGCCCGAATGGCAGGACCATAGGGCACTGGTCTTTCACAAAGGGACACGCCTTGTAGTGAAAAGGAAGGCTTGTAGGGACGGGGTATCGCTGATACGGCAAATCTCGTACTACTCTGCCTCCTCCTGCTCCTCTTCCTCCTCCTCATCCACCTCTTTCTTCCTCTTCCTCGCAATTGTGAGATTTGTTTTTTGTCTTTTTGCTCTGCATGTCTCGACGCCAAGGTCCCACTCGTTCTCTCGTTCTCGGATCTGGAACCGCGTTGCATGCCGCAACACCTCCGTAGATTTGTGCGAGAAGCCGCATGCCGCGAGACAGCACACGGTACGCACCTCGAGCAATCAATCAATCGGTGCGCTCCGTGTCGGGCGGCGCGACCGGACGTGTCGGGAGGGAGAACACGGAACATAAAAGGAACCAGGCGCTGAGTCACAAAGATGTCATCACAAAAATGTCGCCAAACTCTTTGGCACCGGCCGACGTAACGCCCCCAACCCGGCAAAAGCTGAGCATGTTCTTTGGGTGGAGGGCTCAGGGTGAAATCCATTGGGCTTGTGCGCCTCGAACAGCAATCCGTCTTGTGATTCACCTCTTGCAAATTGAAGCCTCGAAAGTCCATCGAAACGGTACTTCAGATTTCATCCTTTGCCCTCAACCCAAAAAAATTGTAGGAAAAGCGGGGAGCGCCGTTCGCGGCGGCATGGTGCTTCTGGTTTCTCTTTGGGTGACCGAAAAGGGGGTCCAGCTGAAAGGGGGGGTGCAATAGATTTGGTGCAATTGTATGGCAAATGTATTGCGCCAGAGAACTGAGCAGGGACAGATCGTCCTAGCATTCCTATAGGACTACCACGACATGTTCTCAGAACCCCAAAACGTTTTAATCACAAAAGCGATGTTCTTAGAACATCAACCCGATGTGTTAAAACAATACAGACTCAGCTAGAAATGTTCTAAGAACATTCCGTGCAGACCACAACAGGTTCTTAGAACATGTTTTGGTGGGACTATAGGCGAGCCAGGACGCTTCGCCACTGCTTGAGACACGGTGCTTCTGGCTTCTCTCACTGCTGCCCCCGGCGTTGTGTCGCGGGGGGCCTCAGGGCCGCGAGGCGGCGGCCGCGGCGCGAGGCGCCGACGGACTCGCGGCCGCGGCTGCGGCACGGCGGTACGGCAATATTAGTGCGAGGCGGGGATTTTAACCCCCCTGGGGGGGGGGCTCCTCCTCCTTCACTCCGCTCTCCTCCTGCTCCAAACCTCTCCTCCTCGTCTCCCGCCTAACCCGAATCCCTCCTCCTCCTGCTTCTCGCATTCTCCCAGCCTTCTCCTCCTCCTCCTCCTCCTCCTCCTTCTCCTCCTCCTCCTATCCTCCTCCTCCTCCTCCTCCTCCTCCTCATAATCATCATCATCATCATCATCATCATCATCATCATCATCATCATCATCATCATCATCATCATCAGCAGCAGCAGCATCATCATCATCATCATCATCATCAGCATCATCAGCATCATCCTCTTCCTCTTATGCCTGGGAACCGACGTCCTGGTGCCCCAGCGGGCGGTGGATATGGATATCTTTTGCACCCGGGGGGCCGAACATATCCATATCCACCGCCTACCGAGGTCCCTGAAAGTTGACCCTCCAGGCGGTGGTCATGCATAACTTCCCGCCTCGGAATCTTAGGTCGGGCGTGTCCCCCGACAGGCGGATTTTGGACGAAAACTTACAACACATCACACAAAAATGCTCAAACATGGTCACAAATGGTCAGAAATCATCCCCGTACTATTTGTATTGACTATTGTTGGGTTTTCCTCCTGTAGAGGGACAGGCCCGACTTCACGGTAATGCCGTCGGCCGCCTCCGCCAGCTCAGATTTGGTGATATTGTGCTGCGTCCGGGGGTCCTTCACAGGGCCCCCCAGGAATGATAGCAAACCTGCTCCAGAGACGCTGGTCCCCGGGAAGGGGCCCAGACCTTTGGGGAGCCACGCTGCGAGAAAAGTGCGACGTCGTCAGATGATTGGAAGGGAGCCCACAGGATCTCCTGGAAGGCACTGAGGGTCCTTCGCAATGCCAAGAGGGCCTCAGTGGCTCCAAAATGGCGCGACGAGCTGGGCACGCCTTGGGCCACCGAGGCTGCTGGCTGCCCCCGACCTGCGTCGGCGAGCAAGCGCGGCCCCTACGCGGGCCCCGGAACAAAAATGTCGCCCCTCGACTCGTTGACCACGCTGAAGTTACAGTCGTGCCCAACCGAGGTGGCGTACGCCGCGAGGAAGTTAAGCTGCGCGAAGATGTTCGTCACGTCCGAGGCGCATTCTGCACCCACGCTGCCAAGGGGCGGGTCGCAGTCCGAAGCAGCCGCAGCGAAGCTGGTTGCAGCCCAGGACGCGCAGCCGAGTATCGACAGCATGTCTACGGCGCACGCGCGTGGGTTCGGGCAGTCCTCCGTCGCACGGGCAATGGTGGTGCCCATCTGCATCAAGAGGGCGCTGGCCATGATGACGTCGAAGACGCATACGCCTATCGACCAGCCTGTCTCGATCTTGATCTCGCTCCTCGTCGGTGCTGCAGAATTGCTCGCTTCGGTGATGGCTCTCCTCAGGAGCCCGTGCTTCCCGAACTTCAGCCGCCGCCCCTCTCCCGACTCCAGAATGGCGGTGAGGTTCTGCAGGGCCGACTCGCGGGCGAGGTCGGACGCGCCCACGGCGCCGCAAGAGCTGCCGACGTCGGTGGCGGCCGAGGCGATGCCGGTGACGTCCGCGATCATCCCGATGATGTCGGCGGCGCACACCGCCTTCTGGTCGAGCACCTGGGGGCAGTCGGAAACGCTCGCGCTTATCGCGTATGCCACCCAGGAGAGGCAGCTGATGGCGTTGGTGACCTCTACCGCGCAGCCCTGGGCGGAAGAGTCGGGGCACCTAGAGTGCCGGCTCGCAGACGCCTGGTACAGCGAATTGATGGCGTACCCAAGGCAAGAAACGATGTATAAAACGTCGATCACGCACGTTGCCTGCAACAACTTCGACTCGTTCAGTGGCGATGCGTACGTGTTGTCCGTTATATTATTGTTGAGTTTCTCGGCTATGTCATCGTAGACGTCTTGACTATCTGTGCCCTCCCCCTGCAAGCCTCTTGCGGAGGCAGCTTGGGAAATGACTGCAAAGTGCTGTGGCTCCAGAAGCTCTGCGCGTGCTGTCACCTGGCCGATGAAGTCCTCCAAACGATCCCAGCCGCCGGCAAACTCTGTGCTTTCCGCGCCGAGGTCGATGGCTTCAGCTTCCGCGTGGTGACGTGCAGCCGCTGTGGCTGCGCTGGCCAGGTGAGCAGAATCGTGGCGGGCACACAGGGGGAAGACCAACACGCTACCAACTATGAGAACAAATGCTGGTGCCGTGGAAACGAACGCCCGCCGCTTGGACGCGGAAGTGGTCGCCACGGTCGCCGCGCGGGCTTCGGCATTGCCCATCAGCATCTCGGACACGCCATCGTCTACAGAAGGCCACTGCTCAGGCACAGCACCGGCACTCGCGGCCATACAGTTCAGTTCGCCCTCCCCCAAGCCTCCCTGCGTGCGTGTGCGACGTGGGCTCGAGCCAGAGACTTGAGCCAAAACTGCTACGGACTCGCACTTGTGAGATCTTGATTGTTAAAGGGGCCCTGGGACACACAAATAAACACACACACACAATCCCAGGATTCCCCATATTGTTCAATATTTTTCTGGGTTTTCGTCTTGCGCTTCATCTTGCGCCTCATTGTCCATACTTTCCCCGATCTTCCTGGGAATCGACGATTCATTGCGTCTATGTGTTTTCTCCCCTCCTGAATCGTGGCTGGCCTGGGTCGGAACACATCAGGCCACGCACGCGCACGTGTGCGCGCGCCAGGTCTCCGACGACCGGAAGAGCTCCTCGAGGGACTGGCTCAGGGGGGCCCTCGATAGCGGAACCGAACGTTTCGGGGCGGGGTGGGCAATCCGGCCCATATCGACAGTGAATGGGCGATTGTCGGCGGCGACGATAAGGGCGAATAGTCCAGGGGCGGGCAATACACGTATTCGCCCGGGAGCCTCGCCGAAGACATAAATCATCGGCGCCCCTGGATACATGTATTGCTCCCCCCTGGGCTATTCGCCCCTGTCGTCGCCTCCGAGATTGGGGGTCGATCCATTCCCCTCCCCACCGAGCCTGCTGCCCCCGAGAGTTTGACGGTCACCGGGGGCCGAGCACGGCTTCCAGGCGCTGGGAAGGGAGAAACATACCTGGCGCGAACTCGGCCCCCATAAGCCTCGGTCCTCCGACCAACATCCGCTCGAAACCGGGCCCCTCCCTGGACCCCGCCCGAGGTCAATGGTGTCCAGCTTTTCGAGCTGCGTCCAACTGTAACGACGAGACGAGAACCCGGAGCCCAGAAAAGTGAAAACCGAAGAGGCGAAGGAGGAGGAGGACGGAGAGGACGAGGAGAAGGCGCCAGAGGTCTGGGGACCAGTGAAGAAGAGAACTTTTCCACCCTCGCGGAAAGGCGGCGCATGTGCAGAGTCTTGGGAGGTCTCAGAATCAGGGCCTGCTGGCACGAAGCTTGAGATCCGTGGAGCACAGCGCTCCCTCATTCGTCCTTCTCCTCCAACTCCCTCTCATCCTCCTCCTTCATCCTGCACCTACCCCTCCATCATCCTTACTCTTCCTCCTTCTCCCATCATGTTCTTCTCCTCCTCCTCCTCCTCCGTCCATCCACTCCGCCTCCTGTTCCGCTTCCTTTCTCCCCCCATGTCGTTCTCCTGCATGTTTATCATCTTCATCCAGCTCGTCATCCGTCACCGTCGACGTGAACATCGTCGTGGTCGTCGTGCTCTAACATCAGGAGGAGGGGGAGAAGGGACTTCCTCCTCCCCCTTACATCGGACCTTCCTCCTCCCTCCCTACTCCATCCCTCTATACGACCCCCTCTCCCATTCACTTATCACCGTCCCCCTCCGTGGAAGCATTCATTGTGAAAGACCCTCCCCCGCCTACTTCTTCGACCTCTCCGTGTCCCGCGTCACCCTGTCCCGCCCCTCCCTCTCCATGTCCCCTGCCGCCCCTGCCTCCCCCGTCCCCTCCCCAGCGCCTTCCTCCCTCTCTCCGCACCCCCCCTGATCCCTCCGTCGCCCGTCCATCTCCTATCCCCTCCATCAACACACTCTAATTCGGAGGCCAAGACAAAGTTCAAACCGAAAGGGCCTATATTTGAATTTCTGGGACAGCGGCCGTCATCGGCCCAGCCCCCCCCTCCCAGATGACGTCACTTTCTGCGCCGGCGGCGTCTGGGAATGCCTAGGGATGACCGAGGCCAAGTGGGAGCAACATGTAGGTGGAGATATGTGCAACAACGCCCGTGTACACCACAGTGCTCGCGTGCTCGATAGCGCGCGTGTGCACCACAGCGCCTGTTTACACCGCAGCGGCCGTGTGCAACGCAGCGCCCGTATACACCACAGTGCTTGCGTGCATCACATTGCCTGTTTTCACAACAGCCATTGTGCACACCGCAGATACCATGTGCAACACAGCGCCTGTGTATACCATAATGCTTGCGTGCACCGCAACGACTGTGCACGCCACAGCGCCTGTGTCAGCATCCGCGTGCAACGAAGCGCTGGTGTACACACCGCAGTGCTTGCGCGCACAGGACAGGTGGAAGGAGCATATAGGTGAGGATCTGCTGCGGATAGCTAAACACCACGCCAGGGAAGTGCTGCTAGTATAATGCGATGTTCCTCCCTCCTCCCTCCTCCTCCTCCTCCTCCTCCTCCTCCTCCTCCTCCTCCTGCTCCTCCTCCTCCTGCCCCCCTCCCCTCCCCTCCACAATTGCACAATATGAATACTACTCTCGTCTCTCTCTCCTGGTGAACGTCCGGGAAACGTTCGACTCCCCTCCGCGTACGGGTTTTTTACACACAGGATTCCTGGGAGTTGGGTTTTCGCTCTCGCTGAGGCGATGGCCTCATTTTCGGGCTACCGCCCGTTCCGAATCGTGCTCCCGCTGCAACGCTGGCCTCATTTTCGCGCTTCCGCTCGTTACGAATCGTGCTCCCGCTGCAACGCTGGCGTCATTATTTCCAGCGCCGTGCCACTGCATGGTGTTCGGTCCTTCCAAGCAGGTCCCAAAATCTAGAAAATGACCCCCCGAAAAAGCCATCGGAAGTGATTACACATTCGGTGCCGATTCGTTGGTTTTGGGGGTCGCAGAAGCCCCTCCCCACTTTGGGGCGTCGCCACGCCATGCAATGTCAAGCTACGCGTCCTCCGAATCGTGCTCCCGCTGCAACGCTGGCCTCATTTCCGCGCTTACGCTCGTTCCGAATCGTGCTTCCGCTGCAGCGCTGGAACCATGATTTCCAACGCCATGCCACGGCATGGTTTTCAGTCCTTCCAAATCGGCAAGCGAATCCAGGAAAAGCCCCTCTCGAAACCATCATCGCAAATGATTACACTGTCGGTGTCGACGCGTTGATTACACTTTGGGGCGTCGCCACGCCATGCTATGCCATGTAATGCTTCATCCCCTTACTATGCCACAAATGCATGTAATGCCATGTAATGCTTGATCACCGCGCCACGCTACGCATTGATCTTCAGCACCATGCTATGCCATGTACTGCCACGCCCTGCTAAAACATCCGACTGCGCGAATAGAGAGGAGATCTATGCCATGGTAAGGGATGGGAGGGAGGGGTAGGACGTCAGATGACGCGAGCGCACCTAGCTTGCCTCCCCTCCCCTGCCCTTCCCCTCCGCCTCCACCTCCCCTTCTCCCCTTCTCCCCTTCTCCCCTTCTCCCCTTCTCCCCTTCTCCCCTCCTCTCTCTTCCCCTCCTCTGCCCTCCCCTCCCTTCCCCTCCCCTCACCTCCCCCCTCCCTCCAGGCGGAGGTCTCAACCAAGAGGTCACCCGAGGCCCATGAGGATCCCCGAGGAGGCTCCGCGGAGGTCCCTCGGGACCTCCGTGGCAAGAGATTCCTGGGGCACCCTGAGGGCCCGATATGAAGACCTCGAATAACAAGTGTCCGATGCAATCAACATACTACCAGAGAAAGAACGAAACTCCTTTTTGGCCCCACAAACGCCTGTGTGCACGAAGGGCGCTAGAACAACAACACACACAAAAATACCTGAAGGAACAGCGAGCCCATTCCGAACCCGAACAATTCCTTATCTCAACATCTTGACTGCACCGCACCCCCTCAGAGCCGTCCCCCTCCCCGCCGCGCCCTGCCACACGCGACGCCCGTGGCACGTGGAGGCAGATGAAGCGCCAGACCTAAGCTGTGGAGCGGTGTCGCGAAGCGCCCGCGGGTCGAACGAAGCCCATCACTCCTCCTTCGTCATGCCGACCTGCACGGAGACGGGGGGAGAATTGCCGTTCCTGGCTCGAAAGATGTGCCATATTCCTGCTCCTCTTTCTGCTGCTGCTCCGCCTCCCATCTCCTGCTCCTCCTGTCACAGATCCTCCTCGTCCTCCTCGTCCTCCTCCTTCTCCTCATCCTCATCCTCATCCTGCTCCTCCTCCTCCTCTTCCTCCTCCTCCTCTTCCTTACCTCCTCCCCATACTCTCCTCCAGCTCCTCTTCCTCTGTAGTCCTCCTCCTCCTCCTCCTCCTCCTCCTCCACCGCCTCCTCTTTCACCTCCCCCGCTCCTCCTCCGCACCCCCCGCTCGTCCTTGTCGTCGTCTCTTCCTCCTGTTCCTCTTTCTTGTCCCTCTGCTCTTCCTCAGTGTTCACCTCCATCTCCTCACCCTCCTCATCCTCCTCCTCCTCCTTCTCCTCCTCCTCTTCCTCCTCCCCCAAGAATGGGGACGTTCACAAAGCCCCCCGCGATCTTGGCACCGGGCAACCAGTGAAAAAAGTTGACCGAAGAGGATGCCTGAAAGCATGACGATAATGAAAGAAGACATCGATCATGAGGAAAACAAGGACGTGAAGGCACGGAAAATGAGACGACGACAGACGAAATAACTGCGAACGCTCGACGAAAGCTGGGCGAACCCGCAAGATACAAGGATAATTGGGCGCCGCCCCCAGCAGGAGGAGAAGGAGGCCGAAAATGAGGGGAATGCGGACGAAGAATGAGGAGGACGAGAAAGATCGGAAGGGCGATATTTGGCGAGGAAAACATGAGGCAGACCGTAAGTTTCTCTTCCCTCGCAAGACATCACTGGTGGCCCTACCAGATCTTGATACAAAACGTTGCTACGCGAAAGGGGAAGGCCGCACAAGCCGACCTGCAATAGGCAATATGCAAACTCATGCGGGGAACCGTGGCCTGGGCAAACCATCGGCAATGCACTTGCTCTGCCCCAGCAGCCCGAACAACCGGCCAAAGAAGAAGGCAACACAGAATATGAGGATGCTCGTCACAAGAAAGACAAGGAATACGACGAGGACGAGTATGAGGAGGGAAATTACCCTGGCGACGTACCCAACTCCTGCGCAGTGCAGGACAGGAGTAGCTTGGGAGATTTGATGAGAGGGCGACGATGTGACATGGACGCATACACTTCTGCAAGCGGCATTCGGGAGGTTCGCAGGTCCGCGATCAAGGGAAAAAGCGTGGTAGAGATGAGTAAGTAGATGAACCCCTGAGTCACTAAGGCAAAGTCCAAATGGAAAAGGGGGGC